GGTAAGATACGGTACACCGGATAAATCTTGCGTTGCCGAACATATTGTTGATAAAGAACATTGTATAGATCTTAATAATTTAAAATTAATTAAACAAGTCTCAAATTACAGGCAATTAGATGCATATGAAAGCATCAGAATTAATAAATGTAAAGATAGTATGAACAGAGACAACGGTCCAATTCCTTCAAGTTCTTTGTTCCTACTACTCTAGTGGCGGAAATCTAACTGTTACGCTCGGTGGGTTCTGACTCGGTTGGCTAGATCTTGCCACGCCCACTCTGTGCTCTCTGAGCGAGTATATAAACGCTCCAATTGTAGATTGTATTTTAGTTTACAATCATCTGCTGATGATGCTAACATGGTTAGCGAAAGTAGTAAAAGTGTTTTGGTGTATTGTGGTGATTTAGTGTTTTATTTTGTAGGGTAGGTGCTCATTGATTCCGAGTATTTATATAGTTTTCGGCACAAATACTCCTATCCTGTCCCTGCTTTGTATTTGAAAGCATCAGTTATGGTCTATTATCTACTGAGTAGACATATCTCTCTTCGAATTCTTTTGAGGTTTTTCTCAAAATTGTACATTGTCGGTATGTTGGGAGTTGGAGGAATGATATTTTCCTTTTGAGGGTGTTCCAAGCCTTTGACCTGAGAATTCTCTCAGTACTGTTTCCGTCAATGACCATTTTAATCATTGGCGTGTCTTTCGAACGACAATATGCAGTGGTGTTAGGTCTAGAATTACCTACATTGCTGCTGTTGGGCAGGTTTTCGTGGCACTCGTGATGTAGATGCCTGTCGGTTTCTGCACAGATTTTACCTTGCTGCACATTGCTCCAGTTTTGTGTTTGGTTTGGTTTGGTGCAAGCTTATGGGCGATTTCGTGGCACAAAACCTGTCCGAGATGTAGCTAGCGTTTCGCCTGTCCGAGAATTCCGAGATTTAGTTTATCTCTGCGCTGATAGTCGATTACAGTGCAGCAGATAAAGAATATTGTACCGTAGCTCTGCTTTCAGCCAGAACTACTGATTAATCCGTAAATTTACGCATATTGGGTACAGTACGAATAATACGGATTTTCTATTATTAAACAATTTAATATAATATTATATGATTAAACAAAGAACGCAAAGTTGGCTTGGAAATGAATGACTACTGGATGAAATTTCTGGACCGCATACCAAAATCTCTGCTTTACGGTGAGCTTGTAGACGGTAAGAGGAGGCCGGGTGGACAACTCAAAAGGTACAAAGATATTTTCCACGAAAACTTAAAGGGGATTAACATGCAGAATGAGTGGAAAGAAGCAGCTCACAATAGAATGTAATGGTGAAGAATTGTAAACCCAGTTAACAGCGACAACCAAAAAGTAAAGAGGCAACAAAGCAATGAGATTTTTGAATGTCAGGAGTGCCGTAGACAAATAACATAACGTATCGGGCTTTTCAATCACAGAAAAGCTCATGAAAGAACACGCATTGCGTGACCCTTTTCTGATGCGTGTCAAATACTCGTCAGCGAGTAATGGTAGTATATGTAATAATGGCGAGTACGTAGTATGCAGCGAGTATAGTATAATAGCAGTAGAGGATTTAGGGTCATAGATAAAAGAAAATAATCTACTATTAAGATAGATATGAAACTTAATAGTAAAATTTTGGGTCAAAGCGCCCCTCCGTGTTTTTAGTGGGGACTACGTTTACACCCAGCGCCTTCGCCTTTTCTGCTGTAAATGTTTTTTATGTATTTTACAATTATTTTTTTGTTTATTTTACAGAGTTTCATGTAAATGATCGTAAGTCGACTGGCTGTCTAATGAATAGACTGATATTTATAGATTTTAAAGCGAACGAAAAAAAATCAAACAACGAATACATACCCTATATTTTTCTTTTATCTAAGATACATACCTTATCGTCTTTTGGAAACACGTGCATTTTTGCAGTTTTGTTAGTTTCTTTGCAAGATGCAACACAACAAGAAAACACCATTTTTACAGTTAATAAATAATAAAACTAATTCTGACTATAATATTTAAAATTTAGGTAGATCGAAAATTAAAAAACAAACCAGTATTTGCAAACGCAGGCCCAAATTCAATAAAAATCAAAATTTTTCCTGCGAAAATCAGGCTTTTCTCACTGATACGGTATTTTTTTATTTATCAGCAGTCATTGTCAAGTTGACAATATACAGGGTGTTTTCGAATTAGTCTAAAAAAAATATGGTGTGATTCCTCATGTGTTCTTAAAACAATTTTTATACAACCATTGGGTCTAAAGTACTTCCTTTCTGATCTACAAGGTGGTAAAAATTAAAAAAAAAAATTTTTTTGCTTAACATAAATGGTACACCACTGCTTTTTTAAAGAAAATATATTTTTTTCTTGACTGGCCATCCTTTTTCAACAAAATTGATCTTTTGAGTTTTTCTTGTTCGTCAAACGGTTGTCGAGAAAAAAAAAATATATTTATTAAGAGCCCGCCTTAAATTTGTATGCACACTGGCGCGATCACGATCACGATCAGGGCAGCGATAACATGAGCGATCATTTCTACAGGATAGCTCACTACATATAGGCGCGGCGGTGAACGTGAACGCGTTGGTGTGTGCTAGACTGATCGCTCATATTATTGCTGCCCTGATCGTGATCGCGACCGTGATCGCACCAGTGTGCGTACAGCTTAATTCGTTTTCTAACGATTTTTTATTTTTTAGATTAATTAGGAAACATCCTGTATATGCATATCACAGGCGACCAAATAAACTAGTAACCTCTAAAGATATATTTCCTACCACTAGCGAAATACCTTGTTTTTAGTGTGTACTAAATTATTTTATTAAAATTTCACCATATAAGTTTCCAGGCAATGTTTAGGGTAGTGCGTTATGTTCAAATATAACGTGAGTTTATTTTCCCAATAATATTTCTTTTAACATAGGTTTTAAAACGACACATATTAAGAGTTTGTGCCTGCTTAGTATTTCTGCGTCTCAAGCATGTCACGCCATATCTGATTTTATGGGCGTCCTGCGCTCCGATTTAGGGGTAAAAGTATTCCTAGAAAAGCGTTCAAAATCGAACGATGATTGGTTGAAACAATTCTGTTTCGAAAAAAGAAAGTTTGAGAATATTACCTAATGCAGAAAAATACACGTATTCCGACGCACAGTACAGTTTTGAGTGCGGTGGCGTGAATAGTGTGTCAGTTAAGGTAAAGTTAATTAGTTAGTTAGTGCAGTGATATAAACAGAAAGCAGGGTGAGTACATCTCACTAAGTGTCGTAGTTTATTAATTAATTAGATCATGATTATTTTGATAAATATATTGATACGTTTTGTTAGATATCATTTGCGTACACATATTATTAAATATTACATTAAATAACTGCGCCGTATACATGCTAGGTCAAAATATAGAATATGAAAGTTAGATAGGGTTAGTAATTAAATAATGCGGCGGTATACCGATGCGGCAGCTACGTGAGCTTTGTTTAGATAGGCTATTGAATCTCTTTACTCTGTAGAGTCGGTGCTGTCTAGTCAGGAGGAGCGCAAGGATAGGCCCGTTAATGTTGCTTGGCAGGATCTGGGATCCCGTAATGTCATAGTAGCAGGGACGCGATTCCTCGTAATGTCGCAACGGTGTAGGGAGTAAAATCCTGGTTATCACCGGTTTTTATATTGTGCCTCTGGGCGTAACCAGATGCGGGAGCGGGACCCCGAGAGATTCAGCCGCTGTATCCGGGTCTTCTGGTTCGTCTAGACCGTGCCACGGGGGGGCGTGGACGGGGGCAAGACAGTACGTTAGTATTTGATGAGATAAGTAAATTTGTAATCAAGAGAGAGAGAGAGATTGGATAGTTCTTTTATAAAGTACCTAATTAGTTAATATGATAGCCACGTAAGCTTTAGGTGGATTAGTGAATTTCTGTTCTCAGTAGAGTTAGTACTGCTTAGCTTGAGGAAGCGCAAGGATAGGCCCGTTAATGTTGCTTGGCAGGATCTGGGATCCCGTAATGTCATAGTAGCAGGGACGCGAATCCTCGTAATGTCGCAACGTCGCACACGGCAGGGATCTGGGATTCCGTACGCCGTGTGACAACGGACATTATTATTATGTCTGGGACGGTACCTCCGGGTCTTCAGCGGCGGGAACAGGCCCCCAGGGTCCTCGAATCTCGGGATCGATATGTTGTGTTTATTCTGTTGCCCGTGCGGCTGATTACTCTGGAGTCCGCGCCATCAGGGGGTGCGTGGGCGGAAGGCCAAGCAGTGCATTTGCATAGATATGTTTGTAAATCTTGTATTGAGAGAGACAGAGATAATTAGTCCATCTAGTAAGATAAATAGAAAATAAATAATAGGTAGTTAGGGCAAAACAATATCGGCATATAGCAGTTAAGTAGGTCGGAATTATGAACTGGACACTTATCCTTACTTTTAATTGTGACAGGTATTAAAGTACGCCTCCGCTCAGGGTCAATGCTTCAGGGATTATTTGGTGAGTCCGTGATTTATTATATATTTGTTTTCCTGACAATATAATACTTTAAAACATTTTAAGTATCCTTTCACGAGTTATGGTTTTGTTAGTTGTTTAGATTGTTTATTATTTTATAAAGAAAGTAAACAAAAAAAATCTTACACAAAAGTGTCTTATCTTAGTAGACAAAAGATTTAATTACAAAAGTAACTAAAAAAGTAAAAAATTCAAATCTGTGTTTTTGTCTTCGCAGACGTCCCTGAATATTTCTTCCACTAAAACATCCGCCCAAACCCAACAATAACGATTATTCCTGCTGTATCATTGCCAAATTTCGTGCCATCAGCTATATGCCCAGACGGAGACCGGTCACCGTGTGGTCTCTCTCGTTTGGTGGTTACGTAAGCGCGATGGGCCGGCGACGACTCGGCCTAACCTTGAGACGCATTGCAATTTGGGCCTGGAATCGCGCGGCCTGCCGCCTGCACTCTAGTCGGCCGCTTCCTGATCTAGTCGAGACGAACGGCGCGCCCCGCGACACCGTGCACGCCAGAGCTGCGGTCCGCCTGCTCTTTCTCTCGCAGAGAAACGCAGGATTTTTCGACTTTTTTCGGCAGTATATTTCGGCCATCAGTGAGTGACTGGATTTTTTCGTTTCTGGATTATAGACTCTATATTTTCTACAAAAAAATTTAAATTTGTTGTGAGACTCAAAAAAAAACTTTAGTTTTTATCAGTTGGTGTGGGAACGTAACCTTGCTTCATTCTGTAAGTTTGGACCTTTTTTCACAGTTTTTTCATTATTATAGATTTTTAAGAAATATCCGTACGCTTAGCAAGATTTTTTCGCTGATTTTTCTGCAGTGACTTGATTTTTTGCTCGATTATTTCGCTGGTAGTCTACATTTTTTACTAAAAATTCAGTATTAGAAGAAACCTTTTTTTTTTCAAACGTCACAAAAGTATTAATTTTTGCGCGTGATTGACAATATAAAAAAGTCATTTTAACGCCTAGGAATCAAAGTAAAGCACTTTTACGCCTAAGCATAAAAGTGCGAAAATATTTGCCAATTTTTATTAAACTGACATAAAGTGTCAAATTCAACGAGCGTAACTATAGTTTCTCGATATATTCTCACACACAATTGATTTCTCGATGTACATACGACTTTTAAATCTTTTTATATTATTTGGAACGTTTGAAATTGTTTAAAAAATTATTTGTGGCTTTTGACACAAAAATAGCATGTTCTATTCGGAGTAAAAATGATTTTTTGTACCTCGGCTGCAGTATGTCAAACTTACCGCCTAGCCACAAAAAGTGTCATTTTTACTCCTAATAAAACAATATGCTATTAGTTTTTGTCAGTTGGTGTGGGAACATAACCTTGCTTTATTCTGTGAGTTTGGACCTTTTTTCAAAGTTTTTTCCATTATTATAGACTTTTAAGAAATATACTTACGTACGCTTAGCAAGTTTTTTTCGCGGATTTTTCTGCAGTGACTTGATTTTTTGCCGTCGCTTATTTCGCTGGTGGACCATAGACACTCTATTTTCTACTTAAAAATTAATATTCGTTTTAAAGAAACCTTGGTACCGAAACCTTTTTAGTTTATATCAATTGGTTTGGAAACGTAACCTTGCCTCATTCTATAAGTTTGTTTCTTGTTTGAAAACTCATTATTATACAGGGTGTTTCTTTAGAATTTTAGAATGAGTGGGAGGGGGGTTAATCACTTCGACCTTACAGATCCATTGTGTCCCCCTTTCTTGAATCATAACTCATCATACAGTCCCAGGGCTTTGACAAAAGCCAGTATCTGGGACGGTTTTATAGAGGGTAGTTCTCCATCTCCAATATCAGTCGTACCAAAATTCATGGCACGAATGGTTGTCGTCTCGGCACTCAGTGATGAGGTGTACTGGTGTTTCACCATCTTCCCCACAGAATCTGCATTCGCCGTTTCTTCTTAGTTTCAATCTACTGAGGTGTTCATTGAGGAGACAGTGTCCTGTTAAAAACCCGTGACAATCCGAAGATTGTTCTTACTCAGACCCAGGAAGATCTGTGATTTTTTCTTGATCATAAGCCCTCAGAAACTTCTTCGATTGTCTTAGACCATTGCAAGATTTCCATTCCAGGTTGCGGATGGAATCTTCCAAGTTCTTGAGTTCCGCCTTGAGTTGGTTACCACTTGGAAAACAGAACGGTTCTGGTCCAGTTAGTGGAGTGTTCGCTCCTTTCCTAGCTAGATTATTTGCTTTTTCATTGCCTTCTATCCCTTGGTGAGCAGGCACCCAGAGTAGGAGGACTTTGTTTTCTTTGCCTAATTTATTCAGCTTCTCTATGCATTCTTTGACCAATTTCGAATTGATTGATACTGAGTTGATCGCTTTTAACGCTGCTTGACTATCAGACAAGATGGCTATTTCTTGTTTAGGGTGTTTCTTAATGACATGCTTATATTTAAGGGGGTGATTCTTGGACCTATTCGAAGACAAAAATTTCATATTATGAATCTTAATTTCTGAGATACAGGGTGGCAGTGGCGGACTAAGGGTGGGCGGAAGCGGCGGTCCGCCCCGGGCCCCGTCTTTTAGGGGGCCTCCAAATCTTAGTAAGTTTTTCTAATCAACTGGCAAACAAGGCCAATATGTGTTCAGCAGTTATGAAGCAGTTTGTAGGTGGAGTATGCAAACCATACGTATACGCCAACTATAAGCAGTATAAATGGAAGCAGATATTTACTTAATTATAAATGATCAGGCCCCGGTATTTGTCAATGGCATTTTCTATTTAAGAAATTAAATAAAGGGCTAATTTTCTTTGTTTAAAATATCGAATAATTATTATTTTTTATATATTTTGAGAATGAATTTATTTATTTTAGGTTTTAAGTTATTTTTCAATGGTTTCACTATTTATTTTTACCGAATAAACATTTTAAATTACAACCAATGCACAGCATAACTTGTACTCTAGCTTCTTTACCGATGATGAGCAGTGAAGTCTTTAGCATAACGGGGGCCACGGGCCTGAGACAGCGAAGGGGCCCCTCGGATCTTGGAGGATTTACAAAATCGCAATATTTTGTCGCGGTATTTCCCTGGAACGGTAGCGAAAGTAACGCGGCTCATATGTGGAACCGGTATTTTCATCACTTTGTCATCATAAGTTGCCATTAAATACATGCATGCGAACATTCCGCTCGGGGATTTCCCGATCTAATACTGCATATGGCCCGTGAATGGTAGTATATGGCTCGTTAGCAAATTTTAAAAACGAAAGTAACGAAAGCCTTTTTACGAGTGAAATAAAAAAAGTGGATTTTCATTGGAAAAAAAATGATTTATGATAATTTTTTAATCGTTCAATTCCATGACAGCTGCGGCCATTATTATATGACATTCGGACAATCTAATTTTTGACATAGATAGCCTATGTTGTTGCCGACTATCATCAAGAAATTATGTTTTTTAACTAAAAACTTAAAAGCATTGAAGTCCTTAAAATCAGAAGGCCTTTCTAGGGTACCTAATATAATTTCTATTTTATTCTTTGATAGATGGTTATTATTAATTTTGATTTTGATTAACGTCATATTTTTAGCTGTTGTTAAAGTATCACATTTCCGTAGCATTAAACTAAATAAATGTTATGCTTCTTTAACATTTTAAGACAGCAAAAAATATGACGTTAATTAAAATTCGATCAATGACAATCTATCAAAGAAGGAATTTTCTTTGTTTTTTTTAATTTTCTCTCATATAGTATGGAAATTTGGAGCTATAGTAAGCAAATCTTTTTATGAAGAATGCATTTTTCTCGAAATGTTAGTAATAAAAAGATTATCTTCTTGTAAAGATAATCATAGATAGTATTTTACTAAAACTTCAAAAAAAAATCTAGCCATAATACAACACTAAATTGAACATTTTATTAATTTACAGTTTTTAGTTTCTATCCTCTATCCAATGTATATACTTCCTATTAACACCTACTACATATTATGGTAACACGACTCTGTCTAATTGTAAGAAAAAATACAACTGTAGTTCCCTGATGCATTTCTTCATCGTTCGGCTCGGTTTACAATGCCGGAGCGATACCTAACCTAGCTGCAAGCGACCTAGCTGGCCTCCTATTGGCCCGCACGACCCTAGACTAAGGACGCGTCCACACGCTCCGATTACAAAATGGCCGCCAGCTTAGATAGTTAGGGCACTAAGTGGGACGGCCGTTATCTACGTCTGACTTTATCTATGCTTGAAGAGGATTTAACGTGATTTTGGCAAACAGGAACATCAATTTAATTGGCTCACTCTATTTACAATTTTCCTATTTGTCATTTGAAGATAGTAGAACATAATTTGTTAATGAAATTTTACGCGAGTATGCGGATTTTTTTCGTGAAAATTTTTAAAATGTGTGATTTACCTTTGACAGATACGACGACATCTTCAATGGTTTTATCTTGGTTTTAGTTTTAGATCTACTTCGTGGATAAAGTGATGCCTTATGCCATATGGATATTAAATACGAGTTTGTTTACCGGACTTTCATATGCATTTTTCTATGTGAATGCTAATTTGGAGCGTTTTTTCTCTGCGTTGACAACAATTACCTACTAAAAATATAGACCATTATTTTTTTTTAATCAAGATATAACTGATACGTGTATTTATTATTTTGAAAATATTTGTCATATAATTTCAATATACTTTTTATTAGCCGACCATACAACAGCTATGGTAGGCTATTAAGATCGGCAAAAAAAAGTTTTTTTAATTTCACTCAAAATGAGATATTTGGGTCATAAATAACCTAAGTACAAAATATTTTCATGGTGTCTGTCTGTCTGTCTGTCCGTCTGTAACACGATAACTCAAAAACCGCTAAACCGATTTTAACCAAATTTGACACAAAAATACTGTGGCACCCGAGAATCTGGCTATTAGTTTTTGGTGGGGGTGGGGGGTTGATAAGGGGGTATGGGAGGGGGTTAAAAATTAAAAAAAAATGTAACTCCAAAATTACAGTAGCTAGCGAAACGCGGTTTTCAATTTAAGGTTAGGAATAATATTTGCAACAAAATTGGTAATAAGATCAAAATCAGTCAAAGTCGCAGTTTTTGGGAGAGAGAAATCAGGCGACGACTAGAGATTATAGTTGTTAAATAATAGCTTTTAGACTACCATTCGAGAGGCATTGATGTTACTTTGGTTCTTGAGTTCTGTGACAAAGAATGTTATTAAAAGTAAATTAAATGTTTTCTCATTATTTAACTAATGTTAACTAAATCATATTATTTTGTTTTCTTGTTGTAATTCTGTTCTAAAGCTTATTATCCTTATTCATTTGATCTGACAAAGACAATATATAACATGTGTATGCATTTAATGAAATCTATTTATGCTGTAAATAATTTCAGTTTAAAAGTAATTTAAATAAAATCGTTTACTGTTCCTTCGTGCCGATGTTTGTGGTTTGTTAGAATAATTGTTGGCCTTGTTGAGTATACTAACAATTTTCGACCGTGCATGGGCGAATATCTTAGCAAAAGGGCAAACAAAAACAATAAATAGAATAATTTATAAAGATTCTAATATATATACTTTCTAGAGATATTGGCACCAAACCTTCAACTTTAGCGTCGATTCCGCAACAAGGGACTTCATACCTACGGGTGGGGGCCCGTTAAACTAACAAAAAAACTCTTCAGTTTTGAACGATATATATGTGTCAATGTTTTGAATGTATTAAACT